CCGACAAAGTCCAATCTATGATCACGAATGAGAGAGCGAAGGTGAGCGAGAGTGGCCCTATTAGCCAATCCCCGTCCATTCCAAGTAATGGACGTGACAGACATATCAACAATGGGAAGAGCCACCGGACGAGGTCCGCATGTGGCTAGGCTGAGTCAAACCACCTACAGGAGGGGGGAGGTGGCGAGAGGATCGACGAAGGGCTGGAGAGACAGTCCGCCTCGTCCTGCGCGGTGTGGGTATGGTCTTCGAGGGTGAACGCCCTCGGAAAGCACTCGTGGCCTGCGAATCGTCAGGCTGAGCAGTCTGACCAAGACTGGTACTAGAAGCCTGCCCCTTCTCCGGGCGTGCCTCCTGGGTGCCAAGGTGCACAAAGGCACTGGAGGAGAAACTCTCACACGAGACATCGTGCTGAGCGCGGTTAAGACCGCATGCCTGCTCCGGGAGGGTAGGGGAAATCACTCCATCCGGCAGAGCACTCGGATGCTCACCGTCAGAGTGTGGCTGGAGAGCTATATGCTCAGTCGAGATCCCATTCTCTGCAGAGGGGAGATGAGTCGGCAATTCCTCTTTCGAGGAAGCGGTGGCAGGAGATGTCCTCATCTCTAGAGAGCAGTCCTGGCTATGAGAGTGGACAGGCAAAAGGACAACATCACGAATGCTGTCCTGAGATAAATGGATGGTCGGGGCAGTGGGTAGAGTGACCGGCTGCTCTAAATCATCTACGAGAAGGTCGTCATCATCTAAATGGCCAAGGTCTGGGAGACAGTGTGGGTCCGAAGAGGAAGGCTCAGCCTCATCCTTCGACTAAGGAGAGAGGGGAGCAAAGAACGAATGTTTAGCCTTGAAGGCCGACTGAAGAGTATCTCTAGGAAGGAAGCCCGTGGCCTTGGCCTTGGGCCCAACTAAGATCAAATGGTCAGACTGGTCAGGATGAGCACCCTTTCCAGTTTGGGCAGTGGCGTCCATCTTCGCCTTGCCCTTATCCGTGGCCCCCTTTGGGGACCCGGGTGCCTGGAGAGGGCCTTTGCCCTTTCCCTTCGGTTCCCTCGGACTGTCGGAGTGTCCCGGCTGGGCCGTACGACGACGCTGAGGCGGAGCAGGTCGTGGCTTATTGCCACTGATATAGCAGTCGGCCGCTATGTGACCAACATGGCTGCACGCAGTACAGAAAGCGGGGATCTTCTCGTAGATCACCCGCTGAGCAAAGGTCTCCGAACCCTGCTCAATCTCGATCTCGTGGATAGGCTCCACTGAGATCGATCTCGACACAGAAACGCGCCATAGTAGCCCTGGACTGGAGAGCAGTCGGGGCATCAATGCGGACCGGTTTTCCGACACACTTAGCAAGTGTGGTGATGGAATCCCGGTCATACAGGTGTGGTGGGAGGCCGGGGAGGCGGCACCACACGGGGACGACTGGCGTCTCCGTCTTCGGGTTGAACCCGGAGTGTACTTGAATACCCTAGCTGGGCATCCACACACGAGAATAGAAGTCCTAAGCCAAGCCTCATTATAGTCCTCAGCGAGATTAAACGAGACTAGAAGATGATTGAAATTGTACCACTTAAAAGAAAACCTACCCTTAAATCCCAATTTTCCTAATCCAGAAGTTATGTCTCGGGGGGGTGGGATAGCATAGGTGAACTTAAATACCAGGGTGTTAGCTAACTTACCTGCGAGGGTGTCAGCTTCGGCCTGTGAGAATCGGGCCTTCACTTTGTTTCCCTCCGAACGGATGATGGACCCGCAAGCTTGGTCATAGTCCCCGTCAAAGAGAAACTCCTTAGGTGTCGGTCTCGAGTTACTATTGGCGTCATCTCGTTTCCCCGTAATGACCTCCCGAAAAGAGAGCGAGCCATTGGTTATGCCCGGGAGTGGCCCGTTTATATCGGGGTTGATCGAAGATGTGCCCATCGGTGATGGCCCCGTCGGAGGCGGTCCGGTAGGATGAAACTTGGCTACCGTATTTGGGGCCGTGTCAACCACTCCATCGTCACGGATATACAGAATTGCCGGTTCTGAAATTTCGGCAGTACTAAAGGTTGCTCCGTCAAAGTGATCGGTTGGGGAAGGAGAGTTAGGGGGGTTGGGTCGGGGTTCTGAAATTTTTGATTTTGAGCTCAATGTCGGGCCGGTCCTGGGAGGAGAGCCGGTCGACAGTGTCTTGCCGGTTGATATGACGGCGCCGGCGCCCACGAGGGTCAGATGGCCGGTGCATTCCGGTTGAATTTTCGTACTTGCTGTGGTTCCGAACTGATGGTGCGGGATGGGTTGTTTGGAAATAGGCTGATTTTGTTCTGTATTACTGGGCTGTTGTTGTGGTTCAATAAGTAAAACATTTTGGATGGGTTGATTTTGATCTGTATTACTAGGCTGTTGTTGTGGTTCAATAGGTAAAACATTTTGGATGGGCTGATTGTGTGAAATGTTTTGATTTGTGTTACTGGGCTGGGAAGAAGTAGGCCCAATAAGAGTTGGCTGGGTAATTATGTGGTTGGGGCATGGGTAATTGGGCTGAAGTGCCACGTTGCATTGTGGGAGCTGAGGGTTTGGGATTACCTGGTTTGCGCCGACAGAGCTCAAGATGGACAACGGCGGCCTTAGTTGTTTGACTGGCTGAGAGATTTTTTCCGATCTGATATTCGCCATAAGAGACCCAAATCGCACCGAGGTCTCGGTTATGTCACTGGAACTATTCTTCTTGTCGGTTGTTTGCAGCTGCGAGGAGCCTGCGTTTGTTGTAGGCTGCCAGGTAGGCGGGACCTCTGCGGCTTTGGGGTTGGCAAACAGAGGGAGCAGGAGGGCAAGGAGGGCTTTCTTTACATCAGGCTGGAGTAAAACGTTGAAATCCGGCGGCTGAGAAGGGAGGCTGGGCTCCTCCAAATTGAGCAGCTGCGGAGAGTGTTCCATTGAAATGGAAAATAGCGATCCGAGAGCGAGACCAGCGGACCGGCGACGCTACCAGCGCCGCCGGCTCGAGCGACTGTGGTCCGGTTATGCGGAGATGGTGACCGGAAAGTGAACGGCAGGTCCGATTAAAATGGAAAATTGAAACGGGAATTCTAGAGAGAGATTTTTAGAGAGAAGGGAGAGCATCTTCTATTGCTAGGTTCACTCTGCAGTTGCTAGGTTAGTTGTTTGATGTTGCTAGGTTAGTTGTCTAATTGTGCTAGGTTAGTTGTTTGATTGTGCTAGTTTAGTGTCCGCATTTTAAGAGCTGGCCTCATTTTAAGAGTTGACCTCATTTGATCTGCCCCCTATATATATATATATATATATATATATATATATATATTAGACCTAAGCTTGGAGTACAAAAGCATTTGAAGTATCATCAAATATATAAATAACATAATAAGGTTACAACAAAAGCTATGGTCATCCATCATGACTACACAAATGGATGCCACACAATACACCAAATAAATCGCACCATTAAGAGAATTCTATTTCTACCTATATCTAAGGAAATCATTAATTAAAAATGATAGGTCACAAAATAGGTCATGTTGGGCAAGACAAGCAGCAGAGGCTGCAGTGGAGAGAAGCATGCATTACGGGATTGAGGTGAGAAATCTGTGGCTTTATGAATGGAGGCAGCATTAGGGGAAAAGCTTGTGCACTATGGTTTGTACAAAGTTGTCGAGACCTGGTCCGATGCCTATTTTAAGGATCGTGACGAATGAGAATGAGGAAGAGATGGGACTTGGGAGTTCCTATGATAAGGTTCAGTATAAACTTACAGGAGGCCCAGTGCGGGCTAACGCAAAAAAAGAGAATCAATGTGGATTCCTTTCTCGTTACGTCTGTTTTTCACCGTATGTACATAATTCAGGGAATGGTGAGGTGTTTGATTGTGTTGGGGGTGTATGGACAATAAACAAGTTGTTAAGTTTGCTAGTGAGGGTTTTATGTCTGTCGAGTAACTGTCATTTCCAGTGTGTCCCTTCATTTGTGAGTATTCTTGATTCAAACTAATAAAGGATATACAAGTACTAATGGGCCGGGATTTTTTTATTTACCCTGCTGCTGCAACATGCAATCGAGCTCCTCCCCATTCATATAGATCAAACTCCTGACATCATATTTCTGCGAGTGAGAGATCACAAATGACCAAAATTAATGAGAGATAAAGACAAGACAAGACGAGTTACAGAGTAGCGTGGCAATCTCAAATGACTACCAAACTGTAATATGTTCAAATACTAATAGTAAACTAAATATATAATATATGAAAGGTATCTTTTCAAAACTAATATTCTTCATATAAATTTGCAAAGGATATATATTGATTGATAAGGGAACACATAAGTAAATTACTAGAGGCCAGTTTCTCCATATAAATTAAAGACGGGTATCAACCAGTCGCTAACTTAAAGAGACAAATAAAAAGTTACTGAAGCTTTAGACACCACTAGCTAATTAGTTATGGAATCAATTAAGAAATGTATATTTGGAAAAGTAACACTAAGTATATCTCAGGCATGTAATGTAGGTATCAAAAAAAGAAAAGATAATTAAATAGGCATTTAACCGATATAGTATTTAAAAGCACTATAAGAAGGATCGGTTAGTAATATGTTAACAGATTTACAAGCTTGGAGCTAACAAGCGAAGAGGATGAACTACAACCTAAATCTAGGCTTCGCCTAGGTCTATAGTCAATAATCCCTTTCTTGAAATCAAATCCAGATCTTAGGTTTTTTCTTTTCAAAATATAGACGAGCTATATTTCACATTTCCTTTAGATGAAAATTTTTTAAGCAATCTCGATAGTGCCTGTATCTTGGAAAATCTGAACTCAAGTTTGAAAATTCTTAACAGAAAGTCATTTTCACAATGAAGTCGGGCTTTCTAAACAACAGTATTTTTTTTTTTTTTTTAAAAAAAAAAGCATTATCCATATACATTGATCTAGAACTCAATCAAATCAGTTTACAAATACCTCCCCACACGATATCCAGGGGAAATCCTGACAGCAACCCTGCCCAAGCCTCTTAGTTGCAAAGAGCAAGCTTTCCAGTACTTTCGGTGGCCACACCATAGTCTAGGCTAAGCTCCCTCATAGGCGGAATATTCTCCATAGCAAAAAGCATGAGGCGGGGGAAGGACACATTGGTGTGGTCATACAAAACGGGCTGCACGAACACATTGGGGCTCGTGCTGTTGCTGATGTAGCAGGCCAGGTTCCTCATCCTCGACACGTCCATGGAAAAATCGAGCGGTGGCAGCGATGGGTACGAAGAGGGCAAAAAGTCGGCAAAAACCTCCGAAAGATTCCCCCACTCCCTCCACCTCTCACCAAAGCGATCCGGGTAGATTAGACTGTCCCCATTCATGGTGAGTAAGTGGGCCTGCTCCCGGGTGAGGACCACTCCAGAGTACTCACAGACAAAGGAGCCCGCGGGGATGAGGTCCAGTGACCTCACTTTCCAATTGGTCTCCCTCGAGCGGAACACCTCGAACCTATTCCTCAACCCTTTCTGGGTCACCCGGTTACGGCATTCTGGGGGGCACTGGCAGTGAGGCCCGCACTCGAAAACCAGCGGCTTCCCCCGCACCAGAATCCCGCTCGAGTGGTACGCAAAGTCCCCACCATTTCTCACCCAGCAGAGGCAACCCTCCATGCACCCCCTGGCACAGGCACACCCGCTGCCACCACTCCCCGAGTCATAGACCGAGGGTGGGAAAACAGAACGCGCCAAGTATTCGTAATGAATGGGGTCCTGATTAGAGTCCACGTCATTGAAAAAGAGCACCCGGAAGTTCTCCTTCTCTCCCGATAGATCGAGGGACATATATCCCACCGGACGGGACTCGAGAGGCCGTGTCTTTAAGCTCATAGCAAATCTCATCACAGAACTTCCCATCTCCTCCTGATTCTCATTTCGCACGAGTCGGAACTTGTAAATACCATACCCTGACCGCCCCATATCAAACCAAGTCTCGACAACTTTGTAAAGACCATCATAAACATACACCTTACCAATCGCGCTGCCTTCGTACTTGAAGCCGCGGATTACTCTCACCTCAATCCCATAATGCATACTCCTCTCCATGGCCAAGTTCCCCCATTCCAGCCTCTGGTGCTCCACCTGCCTGCCATTCTTGTCCTGCCCACCGTGACCACTATACACTATCACGTCTCCCGCATCCTCGCCGTCTTCATATCCTCCAGAAACGATAATGCTTGTGGCAATCGGCTCCCGATTCAAGCTCTGGCTAATGGGTACGTAGTCGATCCCAGCCTGGGACTGCCCGTGTAGCCCCACGACACACATCTCAATCCTGACAAAGAAGACGTCCCCAATCTCGACCCCTGGGATAGTGCCCACTACCCGCTTATCCCGGTTTAGCCACAGCCCACGCTCTCTCATCACGGCTGCCGCCTTCAGGTGGGCCCTCGTGCGGCACTTGCGGAGGTTGGGGAACACTTCCCGCCGCCTCTCGTCCTCAGCGACTGCAAAAACACGGAGTGATTCATAAATCATTCGGGCCCGGCGAATCGACCCGCGGAAATAGCGGCTGTCCTCGGGCTTCAGATCCGTGACCCGGACCATCTCCGATGAGCGAATTGGGCACTTCCTGACACCGCAGGGCGAGGGGGCGCTCGATAGGTGGGGCTCGGTGCCGTCTGGGACCGAGAATATGGCGAGAGGGTTCGGGTCTGTTTTGTGCCCGGTTGGGCTGCCCGCGCGTGGTTCTTTTCTGCGGCTGGTGGCGGAGAGGAACGTGTCTGAGAGGCGGTCGAAATCGCAAGATAGCGGCAGCTTGTTGGGGGTGGGGACTGGGAGAGAGGAGGAGAGGTGGTAGAATGAGGGCGGATATGGTGAGGATTCGTCAAATGGTTCAAGTTTAGGCTCTATTTTGGGGACGAGAAGGGTGGGGGTGGAGGTCGAGGTTGAGGGGAGGTCCGGGCGGCCGGGAAACGGCGCCGTGTAATTGGTGGAACCCATTTCTCAGATCTTATTGTAGGGTTTTCTCTTTTCTTTTTTTCTTATCTTATGTAGTGTGTTTTGATTTGTGCTGTTAGAAGAAGGTTTGAAGGATAAAAATGGCGGAAGGAATTGTTAGAGAGAGAACGTTTAAATCAATTTAGAAACAAATTTCCCGCTACTTTCATTTGCTAAAAATAGAAAAATAAAACAAATCGGGCAGCCATTAATCCGCATTGATTTAGCATTGACCTTTTTCCTTTTTTTTTTTTTAAGAATAACAGCAAATTATTTTAGCATTGATTGTTAACCGGGTAAAATGCACAAAACCCCCTGTAATATACTAAATCTGCGGATTGTCCCCCTCTATTTTAAAAAATGCGTCAAACCCCCTTCTATTGTAGTTTTGCATGCGCGAAGCACCCTACACCGTCTAAGATGACGGAAGTGACTTACACGCGCAAGCTGTGCGGCTTTTCCTTCATTTTTCCACCCCAAAAGCAAGAAAGTTACCTTTTTACCCTTAAAATCAGCCTTTTAAATATTGAATTATTTCCTTCCCCACACTACCCTAATTCCCAAATCGCGCAGCAGCTGCACAGGTATGTTCTTCTTCCTTTTTTTTTTCTTTTTTTTTTGTTGCTTTTGTTTCGGCCGAATAACACATAATAATTTTCTTTTTTTTTTTGCTTTTCTTTCGGCCGAAAATGCACAGCAGCAACAGGTTTGTATCATGTTCTTGTTTTTTTTTTCTTTTGGTCGAAATGCAGCATCATTTTTTTGATTTTTTTTTTTTAATTTTTTGGAGGTTGAAGATGTCTACTTCACAAAAATTAAAGATGTCAAAGAATGAGAGTTTGGATCTAAGGTATAAGCACCCTAACTGTTATTGCAACACATTTGCTCAAATTAGGGTCGTTGGTCCTACAAAAGAAACTGTTGGCAAACTATTTTGCATTTGTGCGTACAACAAATGTCGTTTCTTTGCTTGGCTTAAACCTGCCTCGGTGAATTGGGTGAAGTCAAATGAAATCCACGAAGATGAAGTTTATTGTGAAGATGATGACGATGAAGTTCAGTCAACCGGAGCAAAGCTAACAAATGAAAATGTAGAAGTCGCAACAATGCTGAAGGAGATGCAGTCAAAGATGGAGAAAATTGATAAAAAATTTAGCAATGGATTGTTTTTTCTTGTTATTGTAATCCTTTTGGCTGTTATTGTTCTCAAGTAATTTTCGATGATAAGTAATGTATTCATTTGGACAATGTATGCCTTTATTATCAATGAAATGCAGTAATTCATTCCAACAACTTGCAATAAACTATATCAAGTCACAACTAAATCAAACACTCCACTATATTCCAGCCAACTACAAACACACAACAAACTATAACACCAAATCTCAACTACTATCAAACACAACCACTCCACTCCAATCACAACTACTGTCAAACACAACCAAAATTGCCAAAATTGCCAGAAATAAAATAACTATCAATAGCCAGAAACACATTCCAAACACAAGTACTGTCAAACACATTCCAAGCACAGTTTATCACTACTATCAATAGCCAGAAATAGCAAAAAACACTGTCATCATTCAAAACATTTCTATCAATAGCCAAAATTGCCAAAAATACTGTCAATAGCATTCAAATTATCCTGTCATCACCATAAATTATCCAAAATGCTTTCAATATCCATAAACACCCAAAATAATGTCATAAATGTCATCATCACAGACACAAAAACTGACCAACATACAAAAAAAAAGCAAATGTTCATGAAATTAAATGTTTACTGACCAACACACCATGAAATGAAATCACCAATCACCACCATATTCCCTGCTTTGTTGAGTGAAGGTTTGAGGGCCAGAGCACTGAATAAAATCTTCAAAAGATGGCATGGAAGGCACATATGGCTCTGGCTGAGTGGGTTGAGAAGGTGGCTGAGATGGTTGTGGTTGTGGCTGAGATGGTTGTGGCTGAGATGGTTGTGGCTGTGGTTGAGAGGATTGTGTTTGTGGCTGGGATGGCTGCAAAAAAGCAAACAAAAAACAAAACAAAAAACAAAACAAAATCATGTCATAGGTTGAATTGTGATTGCTGAAATGACAAAAAATTGGAAGTTGACAAATTTAAAGTATTCACTGACATGTTGACCTCCACCTCCTCTTTTGGGGCACCTTCTCCTATTATGATTGTTTCCACCACATAAAGTGCATCTCTTGATAAGCCCCTTTATACTACTGTTTGTTGCTACCATAGGTCTCATATCATTTGCGTCAGCTCTTCTTTTCTTTGTTGGCCTACCCCTTTTTTTCACAGCATCAGGCGGTTGAATTGGACCCATTCCAGACTCCTCAAAATCATTCATCCCTTGAACTGGAAATATCATATGGCTATACATCTTGATATACATGTCCTTTTTGAAAATATCAGACACATAATCAGATATGTTGAACCTATGATAAGAGATGCATGCCAGTGCATGGCAACAGGGGTAGCCAACCACTTGAAACATACCACAAGTGCACCTTCTTGTTCCCAATTAGACTATATGGCTGTTTACTCCATGAACCACCTCATACTTGTCTTCTCCAGCCCAAGTAGGGAAACAATTCCTACTGATTTCCCTTTGATCTTCAATTTTTCTCACTGTATTAGGACAAATGTCCTCTGTGTACTTCTCTATTCCAGCTTTCTTCACTTGGATTCTTGCCATCATTCTCCTTCTGATCCACTCAAACATGTCCACAATAGCCATATCCCTAGCTTCCAAAATGTAGTTGTTGAAGGACTCTGAAATATTATTAACTAGCACATCACACACCGCATTAGGAGAAAAGAAACACCTTGCCCAGTGTTCTTCAGGGACAACCTTTAACCATTCAAATGGAGTTACCTACAGCAAATAAACCATATTATTAATAAAACATGAACAACAAAGTACAAACTACCTACAGCAACACCATGATTTGCAACAATTAAAAAGCATGAACACAAAGTAAAAAGTACCTACAAGAAAACCAAGCATGAACACAAAGTTGTTCAGAATATTCAGGAGCAAACCAAGAAATGAATAAAAGCATGAACACATATATTATTCAAAAAAATACAGCAGGTTGTTCATATAAAATATAGCAGGTTTGCAGCAGGAACACATTATAGCAGGTTGTTCAGATAAGTACAACAGGTTTGCAGCATGCACTTATTTAGCAGGTTTGCAGAAGGTTTGCAGCAGGTAAATGTAGCAGGTTTGCAGAAGGTTTGCAGCATGAACACATATTATACAGCAGGTTTGCAAGGAGAAAAATATAGCAGGTTTGTGTAAGGAGAAAAATACCTTGTCATCCTTCTTAGGAACAAGCTTTTGGATCTGACTCATGCATCTGAGGTGCTCCTTGACATTGTATGTGCTGGCTACCTTCCAAAACCATTTCCTCAATTCTAAATCCCCCCACTTCTGCTTGGAATTATTGTACATGTGCTTCAAACAATATCTGTGCTCTGCCCCCTCAATTTCACTCACAGCTTCAAGCAAACCCTTCTGTCTATCTGAAACAAAAGTCCACTTTCTCTCCCTGTATGGATCTACATCTCTTAGTAGTCTTTCAAGGAACCACCTCCAAGAATCTGTCTTCTCAATTTCAACATATGCCATTGCTATTGGTAGCATATTGTCATTGTCATCCCTACCAACTGCTGAAAGAAGTTGACCACCATGAACTGTCTTCAGAAAACATCCATCCAGTCCTATAATTGGCCTACAGCCAGTAAAAAATGCCTGTCTCATTGCAGATAAACAAACATACATCCTCATGAACTTTGGAGGTGGAAAGTCATTGTTCACCTTCAGTATTAGAGAACTACCAGGATTGTACTTGACTACTGTAGAACAGTAGTCATATAGCCTCTTATACTGTTCCCCATAGTCAACCTTCAACAGAGAAAGGGCATACACCTTGGCTCTGTAGACCTTGTGCATACTGACATCTACCCCACAATGCCTCTTGATTTTATTTTTTAGACTTACCAAAGTCTCACCAGGATTGTCCCTCAGAGTATCTAACATTCTTTTCCCAAGATATTTGTAGTCAGCCTGTGTGTTCTCTGTCCTGTAAGAGCATGTGTGCTTTCCTTTTAAAGTTTTGATCTGAAATGTGGACAAACCTCCAATAACTGAGGCCCTCAAAGACCAGTCACACCCACTTTTGCATTGTGCTGTGATGAGCTTGGCTTCATTCTTGGAAAACTTCAAATCATATCCTTTTCTAACAGACCAATCTCTGATGACATCCTTGAATTTTGCTCTGCATGGAAATTTTTGACCAACTTTCAGCTCAAACCTTGACATATCACTACTATCATTCCATTCATCAGGCTCTTCAAAGCAGTTGTCATCATCCTCAGCCTCACTGTACCAATCTTCTCCTCTAGACCTTTTCAAACCTGCAGCTTCTTCTCTTACTTTTTTTTTCTGCTTTCTTCTTAGTTTCACCCATTCTCTTGCCCTCTTGTGTATCTTCTTAGCATGATCATGACCCCTCTGCTGGAAAATGTCATCATCATCAGGGCCTTCTAGATCCTCCAATTCCCATTCAGATAATTCAGAAGAGTCACCACTACTTTCTTCAGGTTCATACTCTGAATCCTGTGAATCCTCTGAATCTCCAAAATGATGGTCTGTCCCCTCAGAATCTTGTTCTGCCCCCTCATTTTGTTGTTCTGCACTCTCATCAACTTGTTCATCCTATTGTCCAACTGTCTGAGATCTATCTTCACCATGTTGTGCTTCATCTCTCTGACCAGCACCATCATGTGAACCACCATCATCTCTCTGAACAGCACCATCATGTGAAGCAGCATCACCTCTCTGACTAGCACCATCATGTGAAGCAGCATAATTAGTATCTTCTGTAGGATCCACCTCATGTGAACCAGCATCATTAGCATCTTTTGTAGGATCCACCTCATGTGAACCAACATCATTAGCATCTTCTGTAGGATCCACCTCACCACCAACATCTTGTGAACATGCATCATGGTATGATTCTTCTTCATCTTCTGGACAATAATTGTCAATTAGAATATCCTCTTCAGTTTGTGGATATTCAATAAGTGGGATCTCTTCTTGTACATCCATAAATTCCCCTCAATGTCCAGTTCTTGTAGAGGGCCATGCAAATCTTCAAAGTAAAGTGGGATGACATATTGCCCAGTATACTTCTTCACCAACTTCAGAATATCACTGTCACTGGCAATCTGAATCAACTTTCCTGTTTGTAGAGTTTTTCCAGGCTTGTGTGAAAAAATATCCTTAATGGATGACTTGCCACCTGCCTGTCTGTACACATCCATTATCTCATACATAGACAATCTGTCCATGTCATAGTAGTCAACTGCAACTCTTTGACCACCAAAGTAGTGAACAAATGGCTCCCATTTTATCACTCCACCAACTCTAACATCAAATACAATAGCCATATTCTGCAATTCAACAAGTATGATATGATTAATGTATGAAATCAGTGATCACAACATAAAAAGAATATAAGATACCTATGCATCAATATCACAGAAAGACCCAAATTCTTCTTACAAACAACATCAATAAGTTTCAGATACAAATTCAACATACATATAGGATAAAGTAAACAACATTAATTTCCAAATTACAAACCATGCAAACATATTCAGTACTTTATACAGATAGTATAAATTGAAACAATTCAACCAAAAAACAACATCAACACTATACTCCATTAAACAATGAGCACAATGAGCACAATTCGACCTAGACATAGTATATGAATCACCCTAACTCCCAAATCAGAAAGCCCTAAATTCACAATCAGAAAGCCCTAGTTTCAAAATAAAAAAGTCATATTTTCAAATTCAAAAACCCTAATCTCAAAATCAGAAAGCCCTAATTCCCAAATTCGAAAGCCCTAAACTCACAATCAGAAAGCCTTAATTTCACAAATCATAAACCCTAATTTAAAAATAAAAACCCCTAATTCCCAAATCAGAAAGCCTTAATTCCAAATCAGAAACCTTAATTTCAAAATCAGAAACCCTAATTTAAAAAAAAAAAACAGAACGCCTTAATTCCCAAATCAGAAACCCTAATTTCATAATAAAAAAACCCTAATTTCCGAATCAGAAGCACAAAAGTTTACCAAATCAGAAGATATCGAATTTTTCAAATTTTCAAATGAAGCAATCGAGTTTCCCTAATTTTCAAATCACAAGCACGCACTTCACAGGTAACCCTATTTTCAAAACCACATAACATAAGAACCTTAATTTTACAAATGCAACTATTGGATTTCCAGGTATTAACCTTTAATCGTCAAAGATTCGAAATGTACCTTATGCGCCATCGAAAAATCGAGAAGTTGTCGCTGCAAATTGAACCCTAGCTTTTGAATATCGAAAATTACTCCTCCATTCGGCTCGAACATTGAAGATAAAGTTGCATCATGTTATGCGCCATCAATCCATCTACAAATTTTTAGTTGAAGATCGACAATTTTTTTGGAGAATCGTGGTGTTGAGATTGGGATTTTTTTGAAACAATCGGGGAGAGAGAGAGAGAGAAGAGAGAGAGAGCGAATTTAAAAAGTTAGAAATGAATTTTGTTTCAGATGGGAGTGACTTCTCAAGTGACAAGGGCATAACGGGATGTTCACAAAAAAGTTAACGGTGTTAACTCCCAGACATAAGTTGGGGAGAGTATGCTAGCCAAACTACAATAGAAGGGGGTTTGACGCATTTTTTAAAATAGAGGGGGACAATCCGCATATTTAGTATATTACAGGGGGGTTTGGTGCATTTTACCCATTGTTAACCAATATGAATCAAAATCCGTATAAGTTCCTATTTCTCAACTGGAGATGAGTTTTCCTCTTTTTTATGGCACCATTTCCTAAATTTTTGTGGAACTTGCCCAAAAAAAGATAAAGCTATATCAACTAAATAAATGATATAATAATACATTTGGCAATTTAATCTGACTAGGACTCTCAAGTTAATTGTTGTAACATTCACATTTACAAGCCAATTTAACATATCAAATTTTAATGCGAATAAAAATTGAAAATCTATGCAATCCGATTTTTTTATTCTGTTTTCATAATTTTCTCGAATTCAAATTGAAAGAATTTGCCACTTTACATATCAGATTTATTTCGCCCCTACTTTGAAAGAGAATCAAAAAAATATATTAATATAAATAATTATAAATTAGTTGATTCCTATATATGTATATATAGAGGCGGATCAAATGAGGTCAGCTCTTAAAATGAGGTCAGCTCTTAAAATGCGGACACTAACCTAGCACAATCAGACAACTAACCTAGCAGCCTCAGACAACTAACCTAGAAACTGCAGAGACTATGCATTTTCTAATTTTTTCCAATTGGTACATAAAATAAAAGTTGAGAGCATTGTTATGAAAAAAAAAACTTCGAAAAATGAGTCTTGATTGGGGAGATATAGAGGTTTAAAAATACAAAAAAACGTATTTTTTTCTTAAAAATGAAATTAAAGCAAGAAAAAGGCGTTTTTTTTTTTAAATTCAGGCGACTTGGCGGTTTGCAGCTGCGTAGATCTCGTCGAGCTACCCCAAATAAAAAACAAGTTCGTCCAAAACGAATCTTTCTACGCAAAGTTATGGCCTTTCAAAGTTTTGCTATGTGAGCTTGCAAATTTTCATCATGTAGTTGCAACTACAAACAACTAACCTAGCACCATCAGTCAACTAAACTAGCACAATCAGACAACTAACCTAGCACCATCAGACAACTAACCTAGCAAATACTAACATAGCATAATCAGACAACTAACCTAGCACAATCAGACAACTAAACTAGCACAATCAGACAACTAACCTAGCACAATCATACAACTAACCTAGCACCATCAGAAAACTAACTTAGCACAATCAGACAACTAACCTAGCACCAACAGACAACTAACCTAACAACAAATGATTACTAACCTAGCACCAACAGACAACTAACCTAGCAACAAATGACTACTAACTTAGCATTAACAGACAACTAACCTAGCAACAACATACAACTATCATTGCAAATTAAAATCTGCGAACTAAAACTAGACACAGCAAAATGCTCTCTCCTCTCTCTACATTCTTCTCTCTACAATCGATCGTCTTCTTCACCTAGCTATGTCACCGACCGTTCCCCCAGCGCCGGCACTCTTGGTGCCGGATCCTTCGACAATCACAGACCCATCTCCTTCAGATTTCAACAAACATCCCGATTTCGAAAAATCAATTCTGAAATTTATGGACCAGAGATTCATAAGCTCCGCCTCCACCGTTATAGAAGCTCCGAATTCACCAGTCGGAGTTTGTACCTTGTTTCCTGAATCAATTGCAGGAGCTCCTCCGATCGGAGTTTGTACCGGATCCTTGACTGAGATGATAAAAGATTTGGCCACCGTCTCTAAGATGCCTACCTCGACCTCACCATCCACGGCCAACGTCCCAAACAAGTTTATTTCAGAGGTCCGAATTGGCTCCATGCCTTTGATTTTACAACCAGATTCTGTACTTCCGCCGGTTTCAGCCTTCAATCCGCCGCGGACCACCTCATTATTGCCTATTGGCGGCGATAGTCCCAATTTTTCAAGACAAGTGGGCGACAGCATTGATTTCCCGCAGCTCCCTAGCCACATGGGCGGGCTCCACTCCTCCAGGTACTTTCCGCCCATTTCAACATTTGGGCCTTCAATCTTAGCCCACTTTTCTTCACCTCAGCCCACTAACTGTTCTGCTGGGCCAACCCTACCTTTTCTCAACCAAAATTCAAAACCAAACACTTCTGGGCCATCTTTTAAACCCACAGACATTTCCAGTCAGCCCATTTCACCCCATACCTCATCCATAGCGAACCATATATCATCCCAATCTACAGATACATTCCCAACTTCCAATCTGGTGAACCATTCCCAAATATCTTTGTCGGTGAACGGCGTGAACCACCCTTCTGTGAACTATGGACCGGTTCCCATTTCTGGGTCCGGCAATCCCTACACCGGAGATCAACAGACCAGTGGTCCGAGGGCCGCAAATACCAACCCAACAAATTCAGCAGCCTTCGGCCCCATCGACAACATGGGCCTTCCCGACAACTCCCTCCCGGGCACCGGCGGGACCTCTGCTCCAATGATGGCCGACACTCTGCAGACCGTCATTCTAACCGGAAAAGACCTGATTTCAGCTCAACCAATTCCTTCCCCGACCAACCACCATGAAGAAACTGCCACCCGCGATACCGGAGAAGCCATCATATTTGTACAGAAAGATGACATGGAAACTGTGGGACCAATTACATCAGCTGCGGACTGCACGCCCGGACATACCCCGTTCATGGCGTCTACGACGGCCGGCCCAAACATCAAATCTGCAGAACTTGGGCCCCCACCGGTTACCTCGGCTGGCCCTCTCTCTTTTCGCGAGGTTATTACCGGAAAAAAAGACGATGTGAAGATCATTCAACGGCCCACACCCAAGGATTTCATATTTATCGGGGAATATGAGCATTCGTACGGGACCATTACCCGCTCGGAGGGAAACAAAGTACAGGCTCATTTCACTCAGATCGAATCTGAGACCCTCGCAGGTAAGCTAGCTAACACCCTGGTGTTTAAGTTTTCTTATGCTATCCCTGCCCCCCGAGATATATCTGCTGGTTTAGGGAAATTGGGTTTTAAGGGTACTGTGACGCCTAAGTGGTATAATTTTAATCACCTCCTAGTCTCCTTCCATCTTCTTGAGGACTATAACGAGACGAGGCTTAAGACTTCAATTCTTGTGTGTGGATGCCCAGCTAGGGTGTTCAAATACACTTCGGGGTTTAACCCGAAGACGGAGACGCCGCTTGTCCCCGTCTGGTGCCGCCTTCCTGGCCTCCCTCCCCACCTCTACGACCGGGCTACCATCACTACGCTTGCTAAGTGTATAGGTCAGCCGGTTCGTATTGATGCCCCGACGGCCCTCCAGTCGAGGGCCAACGTGGCTCGATTCTGCGTTGAGATCGACCTCAGGGTCGAGCCCGTCCACGAGATAGAGATTGTGCAGGGGTCGGATACCTTTGTACAGCGTGTGATCTATGAGAAGATCCCCGCCTTCTGTAATGCGTGCAACCATGTTGGTCATATAGCGGCCAACTGCTATATCATTGGCAATAAGCCACGCCCCACTCCGCCTCAGCGCCGTCATACGGCCCATCAGGGACCCTCCAACAGACGAAGGGAACCGAAGGGAAAGGGCAAAGGCCCTATCCAGACACCCGGACCCCCAAAAGGGGCCACGGATAAGGACAAGGCGAAGATGGACTACACTGCCCAAACTGGAAAGGATGCTCATCCTGACCAGTCTGATCAGTTCATCATAGTTGGGCCCAAGGCTAAGGCCACGGGCTTTCTTCCCAGAGATACTCTTCAGTCGGCCTTCAAGGCCAAACATTCGTTCTTTGCTCCCCTATCTCCTGGATCTAGGGATGAGGCTGAGCCTTCATCTAGGGACCCACACTGTCTCTCCGATCTTGGCCTTTTAGATGGCGACGATCTTTTAGGAGATGATTTAGAGCAGCCGGATACTTCACCTAGTGGCCTGGGCATCCATTTATCTCAGGACAGCATTCGTAATGCTGTCCCTTTGCCCGTCCACTCTCATAGCCAGGACTGTTTTCAGGAGATGGGGACAGCTCCTGCCACCGCTTCCTCGAAAGAGGAATTGCGGACTCACCCCCCCTCTGCAGTGCTTGGGATCTCGACTGAGCATTTAGCTCTCCACCCACACTCTGATAGTGAGCACCCGAGTGCTCTACCGGATGGAGTCTCTTCCCCTCCCCTCCCAGAGCAGACATGCGGTCTTAACCGCGCTCAGCATGACGTCTCGTGCGAGAGTTTCTGCTCCAGTGCATTTGTGCACAATGGCAGACAGGAGGCATGCCCGGAGATGGGGCAGGCTCCTAATATCAGTCTTGGTCAGACTGCTCAGCCTGATGATTCGCAGGCCACGAGCACTTTTCGAGGGCGGTCACCCTCGAAGACCATACCCACACCGCGTATGACGCGGCGGACTGTCTCTCCGGCCCTTCGTCGATCCTCTCGCCACCTCCCCCCTCCTGCAGGTGGTTTGATTCACTCTAGCCACAGGCGCACCTCGTCTGGTGGCTCGTCTCATTGTTGATATGTCTATCACGTCCATTACTTAGAATGGACGGGGATTGGCTAATAGGGCCACTCTCGCTCACCGTCGCTCCCTCATTCGTGATCATAGGTTGGACTTCGTCGGTTTTATTGAGCCGATGATTCGTAAACCTGACTTTGACTATTACTCTCGCCGATTGGGTTTCCAGTCGGGCGTGGGTAACATTTCTCATAAGATCTTCTTTTTTCACTCGCGTGATTACACTTGTCGGGTTCTTCGGGACACCGATCAGGTGCTTCATATTGAGCTTTCTGCAGCTCATCTCCCTGAGCCCATATTCCACACTTTGGTTTATGCCAAGTGTAATAGAGTCGGGAGATACGATCTGTGGGACACCCTACGTGAGATTGCTGAGAGTATGGAGGGATTGCCATTGATGGTTAGTGGTGATTTCAACATCTTTCTGCACCCCGATGAGCGTGTGGGTGGCCGCACGGACCGGTCCCGAGAGATGTGAGACTTTGTTCAGACTGTGGCGGACTGTGAGTTGATTGATGCTGGTTGTGAGGGTGAGCCCTACACGTGGGTTAGGGACGATCTCAAAGAGAGGCTCGACCGTGCTTTGGTTTCTGAGGCGTGGTCGAAGGTGTTTGCGGCTACAGCCGTTACGCATCTCACTCGATTTGGATCTGACCATTCACCCCTCCTTATTAGGTGTCGGTTTTCGAATACTCCCCGCCGCGCTTCCTTTAGGTTCCAGAACATGTGGGTTCGCCACCACTCTTTCCAAGATACTGTCAAGGATTCCTGGCTCCATCTGACTGGGCTCTTCGGGATGCGCAATCTAGAGGCCAAGCTCGGCAGATTATGGCGTAGGTTGAGACAGTGGAACTGGGATGTTTATGGAAACCTCCATCAGCGTCTTTCTGTGGCACAGAGTGCGCACGCGGAGGCCGAGCGGATCTATGATCTGGATCCTACTCCAGAAAATAGAACTGCGATGCACCGCTGCCATGCCGAGTACCAGCTCCGACTCCTAATGGAAGAGGATTTCTGGAAGCAGAAGGCGGCCGTTCGCTGGGTGGCAGAGGGCGAACGGAATACTAGATTCTTCCAGGGCTTCGTTAGACAGAAGCGTGCTAAGTCGTACATCCATAGTATTGAGGCTAATGGGTCATCCCTGACTCAGGAGTCTCAAATTCGGGAGTCGGCTGTTGCTTACTTCCGGACCCTTTTCACCTCTGATAGGGGATCCCCTGTTGCTCCGACCACCTCTTTCTTCCCTACCATCCCCCCCTCGGTCGACCTTGTCAACCTCTGTGAGATCCCGAGCAGGGAGGAGGTTAGGGATGCTGTATTCGGGATTGATCCCAACAGCGTTTCTGGCCCGGATGGGTTATCTTCCCTCTTCTATCAGGTCTGCTGGGATATAGTCGCACCTGATATTGAGGAGGCAGTGTTGGATTTCTTCACTGGTCACCAGATGCCGGATTCCTTCACTGCTACCTCTGTTGTTTTGATTCCCAAAAGACCCAATCCGAGCTCTTGGTCCGATTACAGGCCCATCAGCCTGTGTAACGTGACCAACAAGCTTATTTCCAAAATTCTTAACGGCCGCCTTTCTCCTATTCTCCCCTCCATTATCTCTCCGAACCAGAGTGGATTCGTCAAGGATCGGGTCATTAGTGATAATATACTTTTGGCTCAGGAGATGATCCATGATATCTCCCATGCAGATTGGAAACGGGCACCGAACATTGCGCTGAAGCTTGACATGGCTAAGGCGTATGATAGAGTCGAGTGGCCATTTCTTAGGGAGGTACTGGCTAGGATGGGATTCCCTGAGCGATGGATCAACTTTGTTAGAGCGTGTGTGGAGCATTGCACGTTCTCAGTCCTGGTTAATGGTAGCCCGACTGATTTTTTCCCCTCTTCTAGAGGCCTTAGACAGGGAGACCCCATTTCCCCGTCCCTTTTTGTCCTTGCGGCAGACTACCTCTCTCGATGCCTTGACGGCTTCATCCGCGATTATCCTCAGATGACTTATAGCACCCGTGGCTATGGTCCTCCCGTCTCGCACCTTTCTTATGCGGATGACATCATCATCTTCACTCGAGCAGATGATGATGGTCTGATCGAGCTTATGCACCTTCTGGAGCATTATAGCTCGGTTACCGGCCAACTGATCAGTGTGCAGAAGAGCACATTCACCCTTTCCTCCTCCAGTGCAGATAGGTGGGCTCAGCGAGTCCACGAGATCACTGGTTTTGCTTGCGGCGACCTTCCCATTACCTACCTTGGTGCCCCTTTATATAAGGGCAACCTCACTAGGGCGCTCTTTGCGGGCATCAGAAAGAGGATGATCGATAGGATCTCTGGTTGGTCGCATAGACATCTTTCTTTCGGTGGCTGGCTTGCACTGATCAAGAGTACCCTTATCTCCCTTCCGATTCATTTACTTATGGTCCTCGATCCCCCTAGGTCCACTCTTGACGAGATTGACCAGATTATGGCTCGCTATTTCTGGGGTTACGAGGATGGCTCGGGGAGGGGGAGACGTACCCACTGGGTGAGTTGGGACTCTATCTGCCGCCCTCTCTCTGAGGGTGGCCTTGGCATCCGTCGCCTCAGGGATGTAGTTACTGCCTTCTCATACAAGTTGTGGTGGCGATTCAGGGAAGAAAAGTCGCTTTGGGCTCAGTACCTTCGCGACAAGTACTGCTCTAGACGCGCCAACCACCCTTGTTGGGTAACGGTGGGTGCGCACGATAGCAGACAGTGGCGACGCCTTACTAGGGTTGGTAGACGCGCCCAGGATCATATTTTTTGGGTTTTGGGGGATGGTGAGGTTAGTTTCTGGGATGAGTGGTGGTTAGGTGATAGACCTTTGTCTAGAGATAGGCAGGTGTCGCATTCCCCCTACCTGCTTGTGCGCGACCTTTGGACGGACGGGTCGTGGGACAGGGGGAAGCTTGACGGAGAGTTGGGCTTAGGGGCGGGTTTTAGTGAGCAGTTATTAGATCAGATCCAGCAGATACCCATCTCGGGGGACGATTCGGATGGTATGAGGTGGAGATTTACATCATCGGGTGTGTTTTCTACTACCTCTGCTTGGGAGCAAATCAGGCTGAGAGATCGGCCTAATCTTCTCTTTGGAGCCATCTGGAGCGACCTTTTCACACCTACCATATCTGTTTTCCTTTGGCGCCTTCTCTTGTGCCGGATACCTGTGGACACTATCCTACATGCGAGGGGGATCTGTTTCCCCTCCCGATGTGTGTGTTGTTCTGAGACTGGACGCCATGAGACCGAGACTTTTACCCACCTTTTTCTAAAGAGTGAGATTGTGAGGAGAGTGTGGGAGCATTTTGCGACTTGGACTCATATATCCCTACCCTCCACAGACAGTTTTTTTGAGCTCTTGAGTTTTTTCTCACAGAGCACACACTTTAGACACGTGAGCTTCCTCATTCCTTGTCTGATCCTTTGGTTCACCTGGACGGAAAGGAATAGTGCGAAGCATAGGGATACTACTTTCTTGCTTTCTCACATTGTTTTGCAGGTAGAGAGACACATTTCGCTCCTCACAGCGATGGGCAGGCTTTTTGCCCCTGACTGGACAGGCTGCACGCCACCACACCGCTACAGGGTGGCTTCCTCCTTGCCTGTTCGGTCCCCTCGGCCCAGAGCTGTGGTTTGGCTTAGACCCGACTCTCCTTGGGTCAAGCTAAACACCGATGGATCTTTCGATCGCCATAGCGGTACTGCCGGAGGAGGAGGCTTGATTAGGGACCACAGTGGAGCCCTTATCACCGCCTTCCACACATCCCTTCAGGCCTCCTCGAGCTACGATGCAGAGATTCAGGCATTACAGATTGGCCTCCAGATTGCTGTCGACATCTCTAGTCATATTTGGATTGAGCTGGATGCTGCGGCTGTTGTCACCATCCTGGCCTCGGGTCATCAGGGATCTTGGCAGATTCAGCATCCGCTTATGCGCATTAGAGATCGTCTGCGGTCTGTCCAGTACAGGTCACACACACCTTCCGTGATCTTGCCAGCCTTGGCACTACCATACCAGACACGCACACGTACCAGACCGACACTGCTCCACTTCGCCTATGCACACTAGTTCGGATGGATCAGCTGGGATATCCATCGTTTCGAGTTCATTAGAGTAGGGTTTTTGATTTCGTTTTGTTCGGATCCATTTATTCCGGGCATCTGTTAGCCCGATGACAGACCGTGTATTATTTTCATTTCATGTTCGTGTTGGGATTATGAAACTATGATGATTGTTTTTGGCCCACTTTAGGGTCTTGATCTATATACAGGTTGGGGATCCAGCCCAATCCCCTGCCCCTTGGGGTGTTGTTTGTTTTTAAAAAAAAAAAATCATTGCAAATTAATAAAACTAACCTAGCAGAGATATATAACTATCCTAGCAACAGAATATAACTAACCTAGCAAGAACACAGACCTAAACTAGCACCATCAGACAACTACCCTAGCAGAAATATATAACTAACCTATCAACAAGACACTACTAACCTAGCACCAACAGACAACTAACCTAGCAGAAATATATAACTAACCTAGCACCAACAGATACTCTGTAACCATCGTTTCGATCAGATTTCTGGAGCTGAACTGTGCATATTACAATCAATCGAGGTTTAGTAGAAACTTCTTTTGGAAAAAACAAGCTTCTGAAGTTAATCTACTGCCTTGGTGGTTTTGTTGGTGGAGCTGGCGGTGGCGGCGACGAGGTAGAAGAAATCCAATTCACGATGCCGGAAAACCCTAGCGCGGATTCACCAGCTGTCGCCGCCAGCATTGCCACCGTCAAGCGTTATGCTCCTCCAAATCAACGGAATCGATCTCTTGGCCGTCGTAAATCTGGAGGGGATCGACTCGAACGGGCAAATAGCTATATGAATGATGGAGATAGGAACCCCCTTGGTGCCACCAAAAGTGGTCCCATAGCAGATCACATGGATTTTTCTTACAGTAATCGTGCGAATGAAGCTGGTCGTTCAAAGTTAATACCTTTATATGGGTGTTGCAACAGTGAGGCTGCACAGCTTCATAGCAACCGTTGGAGAGCTGCCATGAATGCACTCAACAGTTTGCCAGAGGATTCTGTTGAAAGGCCAGTCATGTATTCCAGTAAGACTAAGGCTTGGGGTCAAGCAATTCTTCCACACCTGCTGATTCAATCTGCTGGTGGGGCGCCTTCAGGTTTGCAGAGGGATTTCTTGAGCGAACTTCGTCATGCTATGCACAATGCAAATTCAGGCTCCAATGCCTAGATTTGGTGCCCCGTAAAATTAACTGGAATAAAAATGTTCTACAGATGTGGGGGTTCCTTGGAGCCGATTATATTTGCATATCTGTTTGGTTGCTACAGCACGGGACATGCTGCTTGTTATTTAATGTAATGTAATCTATGTGCCGAGCACGGGAAATCCTACAGATGATGACTCTTCCCCTTATGCACGTGTGTTGATTTGTTAGTATGTTGTGTTATTATAAATGTTAGACATGTATGTTAACATGGATAACCTAAACTGACCATCTTGTTAAAAAAAAAAAAA